GAGATAAGTAGGTTTATCAAATTACTCCTTAGTATTGATGTATTATGGGGTCACCTAAGTTTAAAGACATTTAACAATCGAACAAAAAACAGTGAATATGACATGCAGTGTTTGTCATCCTGGTTTGGTTATTTAGAATGTTTCATTCACGATCCACTTTCATATTTAAAACCTCTACTGCATTTCTTCCTCTCTTGGTAATGAGTTTTGTAAGGTGAGTTAACCCGTTTTATTAGTGTCCCTTCACCGCTTGTGAAGCCATTGCATAAAGACATTGCATTATGTGCATTTTTTGAAAAAAGAACCGACAGTGGTAAGGTTGCACAAATTTGCAAAAACAAGTCATAGCGGTTCAAGGTCGCGGCCGAGTGGCACCGACTATATATTGGGCAGAACCTGTGAAACCGGCATTCACTCGAACCTCACACGCCCAACTATGAACGCCAAGGTAAATTTAATTCTTAATTTAGAAATGGAATTCTTTTCAATATATCGTGTAAAATTAATAGGAAATCCGTAGGTGATACGCAGCTTAATTGGGATTGTTCTACTTTCCGCAGGTTATCCTCCTCCTCAGTCTGGCAGCCGTCGTTGCCGCAGACAGCCGTGAGATTTTCCGTCCTCCTCAGGTAAGTGTTGTTCAGTGTACTTTTGGTCGGGATACGAGTAATGTAATCAAATAGGTTTGAAACTATGATAAAGTAAGCTCCAAAGGAAACTTTCCCTGATATGAATCTATTATTCATAGTCTTCCGAGGAATCCTCCGAGGAATCCTACGAGTCCTCCGAAGCCAAGTACAGCTTCAACTGGGCCGTCAGCGATGACTCCTCAAGCAACGAGTTCGGACACCAGGAGGCCCGTGACGGCGACGACACCCAGGGATCCTACTACGTGCAGCTCCCCGACGGCCGCCTGCAGACCGTCAAGTACTTCGTGGACGGCGACTCCGGCTACGTGGCTGAGGTCAACTACGAGGGCGAAATCTCCGACGAGTCTAACTCATCAGAGTCTGAGGAGGATTCGGCAGAATAGGATTCATAATGAAAATAGCATAATTATTAATTTTGTATTTATTTATTTCTTTATTTTATTGCATGTACCTTCTAAGATATTATACTAGTCTGTTCTCTTCTCTCAACATCTATTTTTCTCTCAATCTACGATGAGTCTTACTCTTTTGAGTCTGAGGAGGATACCTCACGATACGAGTCTTAAGAAAAAATAATCTATAAATACATTGACTGTTACCTTTCTTTGTTTTAAATAAATGTATAAGGAAACACGTTTATTTCTCGTATTTCAGTATATTCCTAAAAAGTTTACTAAATGCGACGAAGTAACACAAAAGCCAGATGCATATTCTAACGAGACAAATGGAATCTAGAGTGTGGTTTTCCCTTTAGTTCTCACTACTGCTGGCCGGGAAAGACATTTCGTTGTTTACAATCTGAACGTTTAGGGATAGAAGGAAGCGGCAATTGATTAAGTATGATAAAACTAACTAAAAATGGTGAGAACCCAAAGAAGATATGTCATTGCAAGAAATAAAATATAGATTAGGGTACGTTGATTTATCACAAAAATGGAAGCATACATTGAATTTATTAAAAATGTAAATCGCTCTCAAACACATGCTATCACGCTCACACACACACACACGCACGTGTATGTGTGAAGTGAAGAATTATTTACCAATTTTTTGCGTGTATTGTTTTTGGCTTGGGGATTCGCTATCGTGATGATAACGATGATGTTATTATATTTATTGATCCTATTTGTGATAAACACTCATGTTATTAGCCCTACTAAACTTCAATATGCATATATAGCCACACGTAGACACATACACACATGTACACACACATCTTTCTCTGTGTTTATTTCCATCTCTCTATATATGTATATGGATATATATGTGTGTGTGTGTGTGTTTGTCCGTTTGTGTGTGTGTGTGTTTGTGTTTGTCCGTTCTTGTGTGTGTGTGTGTGTCCTAAGTTTTGAAATGGATTTCCCACACTTGTACTTCCCTTTCATCTGCTGCAGAGATAGAAAATATTCTGTGTGAAGAGATGATCTGAAAAAATGAAAATAAACGACAACTCTGATTTCCGTTTTCTTAGTGATTTATATTGTCTTTTTAGTTGTTTTAAAGATCATAGATGAGTGGCAAAACTGCTTCTGTAATTAAGTGGTCCTGAAATGAGAAAATCATTAACAACCTTGTTACCTGAGCTGAATTACGACATGCATTAGTCGCACCAATAAGCCAATAAGTTGGTCCCCTATCTAAGAAAATGTAGGGGTATATTCGTAGAGGGCATACTACGAGATAATGTTCCAAATTTGACCCCCATTGTAATGATGCCAGGAATAATTGCACGTTTTACGAAACTAATTTATTCTTAGTTGATCGCCTCAAGAACATAATCCAGTCAGATAATTGTGCACAGCGTTGAAATCTGTTTGACGCTCTAATTACCCCAGTGAGAATTGTATCTTTAAATTAAAATAACAAACACAGTGTGATCAACCCACGCGTAATCACACCGCGTATTATAGTTTTCTTCTGTTTGTACAGAACATAGGGGGCTCAGCAAGGGCTCAGCCACTATGGAGCCAATTAGTAGGTATACGTTACCTCTTTTTTCTGGTGGTATTACTGTGTTGGTATTACGATTTTCATAAAATTCACAACATTACTTGCAACTGAGAGTAATGAATCCTTTAAAAAATCAAGGAAAAGAGTAAAAAGTTAAGACTTTGTGAATCCATATATCAGTGCACTTAAAAATGAACCAAAAACAATGCATTTACCCCGTTCTGTCCATTGGTTGAGTAAATCATTGTGCAAGGTAAGTAACCCGGTTTGTTGTCGGTGTCCCTTCACCGCTTGTGATACCGTTGCATAAGGTCATTGCATTATGTGCATTTTTTAAAAGAGCAGTAGTGGTAAGGTTGCACAAATTTGCAAAAACAAGTCATAGCGGTTCAAGGTCGCGGCCGAGTCGCACCGACTATATATTGGGCAGAACCTGTGAATCCGGCATTCACTCGAACCCCGAACGCCCAACTATGAACGCCAAGGTAAATCCTATTCTTAATTCCAATATCGGATACCTTTCAATATATTGTATCAATTAGCAGGGAAACCGTAGTTGATGCGCATCTTAATGGCATTGTTCTACTTTCCACAGGTCCTCCTCCTCCTCAGTCTGGCAGCCGTCGTTGCCGCAGACAGCCGTCAGATTTACCGCCCTCCTCAGGTAAGTGTCGTTCAAGCAACTGTTGGTTGGGGTATAAGTAAAGTTATAATCGTTAGGTGTAAAAGAATGAGAAAAAAAGGAATATATACTTTCCTAAAATAAAACTATTATTTAAAGTCTTCCCAGGAAACCTCCGAGTCTTCCGAGGAGTCCTACGAGTCCTCCGAAGCCAAGTACAGCTTCAACTGGGCCGTCAGCGATGACTCCTCAAGCAACGAGTTCGGACACCAGGAGGCCCGTGACGGCGACGACACCCAGGGATCCTACTACGTGCAGCTCCCCGACGGCCGCCTGCAGAAGGTCACCTACTACGTGGACGGCGACTCCGGCTACGTGGCTGAGGTCAACTACGAGGGCGAAATCTCCGACGAGTCTCACTCTTCCGAGTCTGAGGAGGATTCGGGCAGAATAGGATTCAAAGATAATTTTTGTTAGTATGATTGTTACTTTTGTATTTTTAAATGCATTTACTTCACAAGAAATACTAGTCTATTCTCTTCTCTCATTATTTATATTTTTCTCACAATACACAAGCACACATGTATCTGTGTGCTTATGTACGGTACAACTCAACGCAGAAAATAACAATGATAAAAATAACAACAATAGTGATGAAAATAGTTATGATAATGATAAGAAGTAAAAAATGTCATCTGCTTAAGCTCGACGTATGTCTAGATACCTCTGCAGACAACAAAAACCTAGTCCGTAGTCTCCATGCATTCTGCTCGAGAGACAGATTAGCTATCAAGCCCTAACAGTCTCGTCGGTCGAGATTGAGAGTACAGGTCTTGAAAGGCGAGTTTTTGTGCAGCTGAGAAGACCAAATAATCCTAAACTGTGTGCATGTACTACTAGATTTAACTAGTAATCAAGGAATGGACATTATAGATACACATATGCAAATCCACATACAAAAACGCACACACATATATGTGATATATATATATATATAATATATATATATATATATATATAATATATATATATATATATATATATATAATATATATATATATATATGTGTGTGTGTATTATAGTATATATATTATATATATATATATATATATATATAATATATATA